TGACTATTTATAATACAATTGTATAAATTGGTGACAGTGACGAATTTTGATGAGAAATTTTTATTATTTGCGGAAACTGATAAAGCTGTTATTACTCCATGTTTAAAAGGTAGAAGAAATGCCTGAAATGACTCGAAAGTATCGCAACATAACCTCAAAAGAAGAAGAAGAGCATCTCTGAACCTACCCTATGTGTGCACAAATTCCCGTTATTGTCGTAGAGAATGATTCAGTTCAGAAATCAGTTCTTTGCTTTCCTTTCTTTTTCGGAGAACGAAAAAGTTACCATCAAGACTTAATTATTTGCGTAATACATTACACCACCTTTTTGCATTAAAAATACACGGATCGTTATATAACAACAATTTGCGGAAACAACAGCGCAAACGTAAGCAATGTTTCATATCATTAACAAACGTTATAATAACAGAAAAGTTGATTATTATAAAAAGAACTAATAAAAAATGAGAGGAAAGAAGAAATAAATAAAATCTTTCGTAGACCAGGAAACATAAAAATAGCGCACATATTGTGTACGTACAGCTTCGTGACCAGATTTACAATTATGTTTAGCAGAGCACATAACAACTCTAATTACGAACACAATAATGATAATAATAATAATAATAATAATAATTTTATAGATAATAAGCACGGATGCGCGGAAACTGCGGAAACTGCACTTTAAGATTTCGCATCCTTCACCGCCAAACTTCTACTTGTGTTCAAGAGATTTAAAGCAAAACACTTAGCATGTCTTTCATTTTGCCTCCTTTCTACCCACTTTTCTTATCTTATCTTCTATCCTTCTCTTGCACACACGTGCACATCTCTCGCAACATTTGCCCTCCCCCCTCCCCCCTTCTTTCCTATTAAGGTTGTGCATATAATTTGTTTCCTGCATGTAATTGCATTATTGATTGCTATTGAAAAGAATTGAAACTGATCTTGTGTGCAGACTTCTAATAATAGAATTTTACATTCTAGCCTTGAAACTTTTGTTGCATAGTCTTCAACGGGTTTTTTGCTCCTTTTTTTTTTTTTTTTTTTTTAATAACAATTTTAATTACATACAAATTTTATATACATAAAAAAAAATGTATTTTCTTTTCGCTACAATAAACTCGGAAATTACTTTAAAGTGTTTGTTAACAAATTTCTTGTGTATGTGTGTATGTACGTTTATATGTATTATATATTAAGATTAAATGGCATTTTATATATATGGTTATGTATATGTGCACTAAGGAACATGTGTAGGCATACTTATATAGATGATATGTTTATATGTATGTTTGTAAGTATGCATTTTCAAAGCTTTTGCAATTTGGTCGTTCGGTTACTTGCTTGCATGGTTTTTGTTATTTAGTGGGTTGTTGCTTTTATAGTTATGTGGACATGTTATATACATTCATAGCTTGGCTTGGCTTGGCTTGGCTTGGCTTGGCTTGGCTCGTCTTGGTCGTCTTTATGCATCATTCTCCTTATGTGAATGTGCGTATATATGTGTGCTTTTGTGCGGGTGTGCGAGTATGCGTAGTGCATATGCATATGCATATGTGCATGTGCGTGTACATACTTGATATACATTCTGTTCATAACCTAAAGATTTTCAAATATGAGTATTGTGTGGTCATATAGGCGAACTTTTGTATTGTGTATTGGTTTCGGTTACTTGCAGTAGCTATTTGCGGTTATGTTATGTTAGCGTACAAGTATTGGGTTTTGTTTGCTCCTGGATATTGTATACTAGGCAACTCCTTGCAGCGTTAAGTTTAATAAACATTCCCATCTTAAACCGTAAAAGTTTAGAGTATTTTACAAAGTAAAAGAAAGAAGAAAAAAATCACATACACACACAAACACACATGCATACATATTCTTCAAATTTAATGTTTTGTTTTTTTAATATTTTTCATCTTTTTTGAGAAGAACTTATTCCACGCTGAGTAAAGAGAAACTCTGGGTAAACAAAAAACAAGAAACGATACAAAATGTTTTATTTACATTAATGTTCTATTTACCTTGAAAATCTCTTGGGTGGGCTGGAAAATTTTGCCGCAATCATCGTCACAAAATGTTTGCATCGTTTGCCAGGATCAGAGTGTATGGGGATTCATCGACTTAGAAGTTACGATCCTAGGAAATTAATTATTCATTAAGTTGTGCTTAAAAGAACGAAAATTTCTCAGTACAATTTTTGACTCCAGCCAGGGGTTTTCTCGAACAATTCCATTGAAATGGAAAACAAAATCCGCAAATAACGAAGCAAAGTGACGTTTTTAATTTTGCCAGCGAAATAAATTCTAGGTTTGAAGGTCTCTTAAGGACTAGCACCTAAGGTTAACACCTTTTCTTTCTACCGCACTCGAGATTAGAAACCAAGATCATTGAATTGTTAGACGAGACCTTTTTCCTAGTCGATCGTTCAAGCAGATACTTTGCTGTCTGCCAAAAACATCTTACGGTTCACCTGTTGTGCAATAAGTTTTACCCTAACGATCAGTTTCTGCAATCAATCTACACAAAGACTGATCTTTATTTTGTGTGAAAGGGGTTAAACGAATTTTAACACAAATTAGATAACTTACGGTAGCCGCACTCAAATTCTTTTCTTCTGGTACTCCTTCCTTGCTGTTACACGGAAATTCACTTTGGATGATAACACCTATAAAAACCTAAAGACTACAAGTACGCATATATAAACTTGTCAACGCTGTGAAAACCGTATTTTATCAAACTAGAAGTCATTTGCGTCTCCAAGGAATAAATTTACTGCTTTACCTTTTATTTAACATAAAATCAGAACAAATTTTTTTCAGAAATTAAAGATCTCTAGTTAGACAAAATTAAATTCTTGAACAACACGTGCCCATTGGAACCTTTTATTTCTAGATGCTTTATATCGAGACGACTAGTTGGCACTGCAAAGGCTTACGATTCAGTCTTCCTCATAGTTTTATATATTAAAATGTATTAATAAACTTTTTCCCCCTTTTAAACAAAAATATTTTTACTGATTTCAAATTTTCAACAAAAACTTTTCGAAAATATTTTTACCAAAGATATTTGATATTTCCGCGTCTCATTTTAATATCGGTCAGTGACCGTTTAAGTAAATTATAATAAGTGCAAAACAGCCAAAAACACAAAAAAAAAAAAAATATATAAAAAAATAAAAACATGCCGAAGCGAAAACACTGCGTGTTTCACAAATTACAGGGAGTCCAGAGTAAATCGTTAAAAAATATTTTAGCACAAAGTTATTTGATACGTAACACTTGGTTGAGTTGCTCACAACACTGGAAAATTATCGCGGCACGTCGCCTGCATTTCAAATAGAAAACGTAATGTAATGCAATCTTCACTATTATGCGCGTACGTAAGAATGTATTCAAATGGTACTTAGTAGAGAGACCGACAACTCGGCAGGAGAATGTAAGTGATAAGTAAAGCTGGAAAAAAATCTCCAACAACCCTAGCTTGTATAACGGTTTGAAATTTCTGACCCGTTTTTGTATTCTTTCCCTTTTGCTGCTCTACTACATTGTTGTTATGCACATGGATGTGTGTGTGTGCTTGTATATTTGAATGAATATTTATAGCGTGTATTGCTTCTTTTTAGTGAAAGGCAAAGAAAAGTTTTGTCTTCTCCACTTCATTCCAAATATTATATGATTTATAATTCTCATATATATATATATATATATAACACATACATGCACGAGGTATGTTCACAAAAAATATGACTTTTTTTCTCGAAAAATATTTACTCATTAATAGCTACTTTGTCTGTAGATTTGTGCTTTTATGAATGATGTTATAATACCGATAGGTTGGAATAACGAAATACGTCACCGATGTCATAAACAATGCTGTTTAAAAGAAAAACATCAGTTGCTGAATGGATCATATTGATCTTTAACAATGTTATAAAACCGATGCATTAAAAACTGTTGCTATGCCTCTTTCCAATTCCCATGACTGATTGTACGATAGTTCCGTATGCGTATGTTTCATATTACCTCAGGAGAATACCGCATAGCTTCAAGATAATATTTTTTATTTGCCGTATGAACTTCTGGCAGGAACACACGATACACCAAGCCATTGTGATCGAAGGAAACAATGACCTTACTTGGCGTACTTCTTTCGGTTTTGGATCTTCGGTTTGGACGCTTGATTAGACTTTGGTTTCGCCGTCACAACACATGTTTCGTCACAAGACGACATTGGCCACATTTAATAGCTCCTTAGTGATGTTCATTCGACGGTACTTTTGGTCAAAATTTAATAAGTACAAAACAAAGTTAACTGCCACACGCTTGTGCATACATCATCACACCACACACAAACATACGTATCCCTTTTTTTTAAATATACCATACACGTACATGTGTACATAGATATGTATATGTATATATATACTCATAAATTTTGTATGTGTGTTTTTATATATGCGTAGAAATTCATTAAATTTTAGTTGAGAAATAAAATTTCACTTGTTTTAATTTTCAATACTTTCCCGTTATGTGTTGTAAATCAATTGCTCACGTATTAAAAACTCAAACAATTGTCTATTTCTTTGAGATATCGGTCTTATATTTTTCCAAAAACCATTTAATATTTTTGTCATTCAAGTTTTTCTGGAGCAAAAAAAAAAAAAAATAGATCTATAAAAAAAGAAAAAGAAACCATCGAACGGAGAAGCGAAAATTTTCTGATACATATTGCGATTTAATTTTTTATTTATTTTCGATTTTCTCAACACGTTATGGAAGTGAAGACTCGCAATACCACCAAAATACCGAAAACTGGCGAAAAGAAAAAACCGCAGCAGGTGTGTGTATGTGAACCTTTTCGGCAATCTTTTTCTAATCTATTTCTACAACACCAAGACCAACTTGTTTGGTTATCTATCTAATGATGGACAAGACATACACATATTTATCTTGATCCAGTGCTTTTCTCATTAGCATGCTACGGAAATTCTTCAAGACGAGTCACCGCAATAGTCGAGTTTTTGTCGGAAGCTCGCTCTTCTCTTTCCGCGTCTAATTTTCACTGAAATTGCGTCGTTGAAGTTGTCAAAAGTGCCATATTTTGATTTTATTTTTGAAGCGGCACCATTATCTGGATATATAAAACCCATATCTATTTATTTGGCCTGGTCAATGTAAACTTCATATCCCAAAAAAGAAAGGTTTGAGGGAGAAGGAAACTATAAATAATTCTCCAATGGATTAAAGTTTTTTCTCTACCAGATTTAAAGACTTCATCAGGGCTTAAAATTGCGTGAAAAATATTCGCGAAGAACTTTTTCGAGGGCAATACGGTAATAAGAAGCACAACTGCATTTCAAAAGAAAACAGCCTCCTCTTCAGCCTCCTGGGCTTTAGGCAAGAAGTAAAATGTCCCCATTCATTCAGTCATTGCGTTCATTCGTTCATTCATCCATTTATTCATTTATTCATATACTTTATGGGACTTGTTTGGTTTCGAGCCTTTGACTTTAAGAGCCTTTCATAAGACATGTGTTTATATGAATAATATTAAGACACTCGATTTCGAAGAGTGAATCGTTACGGGCGCATGTAACTACCATCGTCAGGCAAAATATTGCATATCTTTTATCTTTTTTTTTAGTTGTACTCTTGTACGTCATAAGATACAGTATTAATTTTTGGAGCTTCTTTTTTCGTTGTTTGTACAGGAAGAGAAATATACAGAAGATGAAAAAAAATGCATTGTCGATTTGAAAAAGCTATATTTGGATACTATTAAGCTGGATGTCGATTTGCAAAAAGAAATTTACAATTTGGAAAAATCGTATGAAAACAAACACAATGAAATCTATGATAAACGTAACAAATTGTTGGAGTAAGTAAAAAAAAATTGTTGAAAAAATCTAAAAGAAAATAAAACTGAAAATGTTGAAAAAAAACATGCAGAGATTTTAAGAAACAAACTCATGGTGGAGATGCAGGCGAACAGGGTAACGTGGCCAATTTCTGGTTAAAGGTATTGAAAGCCTCCTACACAGAATTTATAAGCAAGCGGGACGAGAAAATATTAGTGGTAAATATATACTAAAATTGAGCAAAACAACACATTATATAAGGCATAAAAAGGCATAGAAAGGCAGAGAAGAGAAATGTTACATATGTTGACAGTCAACTTCACGCATCAAGTAAGGCGTGAAGGTGTGCAAACTCTTAAGACAAGTAGACTTGAGCATTTGCCCTCTCTAGACTAATATGTTCCCAGACTCGCTCATGAACTGCAGGGGTGACACGGGGCAGGGAGCGGCAACTTTTTTTGCCTTTGGGATAATTTTAATATCCGTAGAACAAGGTCCAATTATTATTAGATATGCTGTATTCTACATCAGATCTCCTTCTTTTTAAATCGCCCACTTTATGGCCCAATGAAAACAACAAAAAACACATTTGATGGCTGCCCAGCTGAACAGGCATATGCAATCGCTTTGCAAGGTTGCTTGCTATGTGTGAGCAAATTGAATAATTTGTGAATCGGATGTGGCTGGCTACGGTCAGACGGTTGCCCATTTTTGCTCTACGATAAATTATTATGTAGTACGGCTTAAAGCAGCTGGCATTAGAAATTCACCCCAAGCCGGAATTCTGCAACTATGCCTTATAAATCCAAGTGTATTTTGATAACGATAATCGAATAATGTATAATTGCATAATTTTAGTATCTTGTTGATATACGTGCCAAATTGTATAACGAGCCGGTGGTTAAGTTTGTTATTGAATTCTACTTCGAGCCCAATGATTACTTTACAAATCGTATATTAACTAAAACTTATTATTTGAATTGCTTGCCCGATGCCGACGATCCCTTGTCATATGATGGAGCCGAAATTTATAAATGCGAAGGTTGCAAGGTTGATTGGAAACATAGCGAAAAGGACCATGACAAGAAAGGTAGGTCGCACAGACGCTGCGCGCAACATCAAACAGGGAGCATACAAAACCATCCAAAAAAGAACATAAACCGTGGAAATATTTCTTTTCAGCTTTTACCTCCTTTTTCGATTTCTTCAATCCACCCACATTGCCCGATGACCCCGAAGACCCGAATTATTGCGACATTAATGTGAGATATAAATAAATCACATTTTTCACCAATATATATATATATTTTTTTTTACTTGCACCAATATCAGGCCATCTTGCAGAATGACTTTGAATTGGGTTTCTATTTAAAAGAACGCGTCATACCAAAGGCAATTATGTTCTTTACGGGTGAAATTGCCGATTGTCAAAGTTCAGAATCCGAGTCTGATTCTGATGAAGACGACGACGACGAAGAGGATGAAGACAATTCCAGCACCAATTCAGCAGCGGCCAATACAAATGCTTGATCCCTTAACACCAACCGTACGTGAAATTGCTGCCATTTGCACTCATTCATCTTTATGTTACATGAAAGAAAATTGCCATCTGAGATTTTTTTTTTTTGTGCTTGTAAAGAAAAGGTATATGACGAATGCATCATTTACATGTTTTTACATTTTCGCAAGAAAATCGATCAATCGTTTTACTCAATAAAATTCATATACATTCAACCAATTTTATTGTTGCTTTACATTTAACGAATGAATGGAATCTATTTTCAAGGACATTTCGTACTAGTTTTCGATTATTGTTCCGAATAAAATTAACTATAAACTAAAGCGAGATTACGCATATTAAACAACGTTTTGTTCAAATTAAAACTTTAAATGGAACGCATAAATCATCAAACTCGTAAAGCGCAAGCAATTTTTTGTATCTATTTTAAGAGTAAATGAAGCGAACCGATGGTCTTCGTCGCTAGTGCTCCTCTTCTTAATTAATTAACAAATGAGGTGTTGCGGTACCCTTTTCGAAAACTACTTTTGGCAAAACTTTTCGTTGTTCGAAAGCGTCCCTAGCGGAACTAGTCGCCCATTGAATAGTTGCCACGACCTCGTCGAATTTACGTATCACACAATGTGCAGGTCTTTCAATTTGATCCAAAAGTAAAGCAATTGAAGCTGCAGGAATGCCGAAACAGATAATCAACGACAGTTTTGTACCCTTCTTTTGAATTCTTAACGCGAAGAGAATCAAGTCCAATATAATGTAATTAAAGAAAGTTCTAATTGATACAAACTGATCTTAATCCTCATACAGACGATGTGATTGTTTTTGTTTAGTAACATTTTCTTTTTTTTTTCCAAATGAAAAAACCTAGAGTAACTTTTATTTAAACATTTGATTCCATTTTATTTCAAAAGTGTTTTTTAAATTTTATAAACTTGAATAGGATTTTCAAGATCGGCACCAGACGCTTGACCAATCGAAACGTCTTTAGAACATTGAAACGCGAATGGATAACAAACAATTTTAGCTAAAAAAATATCTCGTTGGTAAATAATTAAAAATAAATGTAATTTAATTGCGATATTTTAGATTAATAGTTATGAGAGAGAGTAGAGGTAGACAACTACTGCTCTTGCCGTGCTCTACATCACTTATAATGTTGGGTATACTAAGTTTTCACATAAGTGTATAATACCCAGAAAGATTTTAAATAGGCGCAGCTTTTATTATACCGGGCCTAGCTTGTATGCTCATCTATCTATCGAATATCTGTCCAGACATTTTTTGCCCCAGAGACGAACATTATTGAAAATGCATAGGGTCACGGTACTTTTTCGACCATTCCCCATATAATGCCTTATTTCGAAAAGTCGTTATATGAAAATATATTTTAATTTTTGAGAATTTCGCACAAAGAATCGCTAGGTAATAGCGTATCGGCATTCTAAGCTGGTGTGAATATGTGAGTTCTGGTAAAGAATAAGTCTTTATATGGCAATAGTGTCAAATTGTTCATATTTCGCGATGAAAATTGGTTCGTAAAAGCAACTTGATATGAAACTTAAATGTATCAAACTTGGATCAAGTGGGTTTATGTCTTGAACAGCATCGCACAAAAGGATTGTTATAAACTATCAAAGCTTGTATGCCAAAAGATAATTTGGATCACAGAGGTCTGTTACTTAGGCGCCAATTTGTACAGGAACTCCCGCTTTTACAATGGCTTAGGGGTTCACTTGCAACTTGATTCTCTAGTGGTTGTGTGTGTATCCCTATGCTAGTTGTATACATGCTCTATACCTTTTTTTTCCTTTCTTATTTATACATGAATTATATTTAAATTTTTTTTGTTTCTTTATTTCTTATATACTATATACTATTTTTTAATAATAATTAGTATAAGATTTACTTCTAAGAGTCAACTGAATTCGGCTGTCAATTTGTTTTAGCTGAGTTTCATGTATTAATAAAGTAAATCAATATATGGAAATAATAATAAAAAAAAAGAAATAGAAGCAAACCCTTCTATGGCGACAAAGTCAAAATTTTAGCGAAAATCTTTGACAAATAAATTAAATTTGCTACGGTAGCTGATGCATTGACTATCCTCCAGTGTGAAAAGTATCCCGTTTCATAAAGGCAATGTACAATTTTGGTGTATTATCATGAAAATGAGATAACGGCTATATCAAGCAAAGTGGTGTAGGGTATCAAATACCGGATCTTTCCCCGACCATAGTGCTCTTAGTTGTTTTATAATGAATTTGAAAGCAAAAAAAAAAGAAAAAAAATGAAACGTTTTACATAAGAAGGTCAATTAGCTTTATTTGAAAATTTTACTGAAGATAAGACAGGGACCCCATAGGAAGTATTAAAACTGCATACACGCTCTCCGTTGACTTGGCGATCCTGATATATTTAGAATAAAAGCATGCTTAACAAAATGTGGTGCAAGGAGCCATGCAACTAAATATGAACACTTCTAAAAATGTTAAACTTCTTCACTTAAAAACCTATCTACAACGAAATGTAAATATTTAAAACCATTTAATTACGACAAACATCTTTGCTAATCGTATTTGCCTGTTCTAAGATAACTAAAATGTTCTCTACCCACAATGAGTACCATTTATGGATTCTGCTATCTGATTTCGATAAATCTTCTCATTTAGAGATCGTTTAGACCCAACAAATGTTCAGCAACTATTTTACATTCAGGTTTTGATTCTTTAAATTTTTTCACACCTTCAAGCGTAATACCGGTACCACTTATATCTAAATATAGTAAATTAGGTGAGCATTGCACTATATGTCTTAAAAATACATCTGTTATATTTTTATAATTACGTATAGTAAAACGTTCGATAAGCGTATCGTTCGGTCGATTACGTATACCTATCCAAATTCTACCATGGTTTGTAGGATTGACAGAACGTCCGAAGGAGCACAATCCCTGATCACTAATAAAATTACGTGGATAGGTGAGTTGTTTAACAGATCCCGAAGAGGTTGGAAACTCGTCTTGCCTTTCAACTACATTACTAGCAGTAACATTGTCCGCATTAGTAAAATTACTGGCGCCACGTCTTAAAGGATTTATAAGGTCCCAAAATAAATCGTGACGTATTACTCGATTAACTTCGCTAATACCTCCTTCTTCCTGTCCCTGCGCTTGTCCCATCGAAACTGCCCGTGGATTAACTCCGGAAACATTGTTTACGCTAATCAATGCGCCTTGTGGATTACGTAAATCTATATAAATAATGTGATCGGGATTCGCTTGTTGTCGACGTTGCGGAGATTTTTTGTTTAAAGAAGCCCAAAAATCATTTGTAGATGAGGATGATTGTGCCGCTTGAGATGACGAAGTCCCTGAAGAATTATATTCGCCAGTAGTTGCTTCTGCACATTCACCTAAGCCATATCCTTTTGAGGCAGACAAACTTACATTAAAGCCTTTAGCTGTATTTATGTAAGGAGGGCATTCCAGCATAACTTCTCTTAATGTTTCTATAACATTAAAGCATTGCAAGTCCGTATCGGTTAACGGTATTTGTCGCAAATCTAGGCGCTACAACCAACACAGGAAACAGGAAAAATTCATTAAATAGAAAAAAATAATTGTGAGAGATTCAAACCAAACTATACTTGATCTCTGATCACATTCATAGCAAATGTATCTTATTAAATGGTTGCTATTTATACCCAACGCCATTTTTGGTATAAGGTATATTAAATTTACTCTTTTTCTGGATCAATTTAGTCCTATCTGTCTGTTCGTCGGAGTCTTCTTTCCAACCTAGAGATGACATCATTTGATATATTTTGACAAAACTTGACACGCTTTTGCATTTCGGTCCAAGGATGAACGTCATTGTATGAGGTCGTTTTTACGGTCGCTCCCCACATAAAACCCCTTTTGAAAAAAGTCTTCACATGAAAACCGTAGTATTTTGGCATACAAAATAATTGGATCGGATCGGATCATATCAAAATACTAACAAAAAAAGGCTTTAAGGAATAAGGAGACATTTTTAAGATTTTGAAATGGAAATTGACCCAGAATAGCAATTTCGCTAAACTTGCTGACATTCATTTGGGTAACTTAGACTTATAGATTAGCATATAAGCATCCTGGAAAAACTAACCTTTTTTTTGTTAACAAGATCTAGTTTTGGATACTTTATGGTAAAAAAAATGCACTTTATTAAATTTAGACCATGTCCAAATTTTGGGATCTTTCCCAAACAATAGTTCCTCTAAAAAGTAACCACTTATCTAGTAACGATGTACGATGAAGTTTGTAATATTACGATGAAATATTGTAATAATGGCGAAGTGGTGTAGTGTATTTAAAAGCCGGCCTTGCCCGACTACAGTATTTATACATGTTTTTTACTTGCCTGTAACAATGGGAAACCATGAATAGTTGCTATGCTGGCGTAAACGACAATATCAAAGAAATTAACACAACCTCGCAGACTTAGTGTATGCAAGCCGGGCAATTTGGAAATTGGCATGATATCGTGAGGTTCAAACCAAGTGCTATATTCAATACGAAGTTCCTGGAAATATTTAATTAAGCATTTATTTAAAAGTAAGCTCATTAAAATATAAAAAAACGCTACCCTCCATAGTCATTTCACCCAATCGTATAACGTTAACGGAAAATTTCAAACGCGGTATATAAAAAGGCCATTACAAAACAGTTTACCGGCTACTTTCGCATCCGGCATACAAAACGAGAGAAAGGCGGAGCTAAAGAGTCAACATTTCGACATTTAATATCCTATTTGTTTTTGGATGTTATCTTCTCAATGCAAAGAGCATGGAAATACTAAGTTAAGAATGAAATTGATGAGAGACTGAAAATGATATCTCATGGACATTTTTCATGCAGTCTTTTTTTATACTCCCGGAAAACGTTTAATTTGGTTATCCGCTGTAAAGGAAGATATATACAAACTATATTGATATGTGATGCTTTTTTGACTATTGCATCAATTTTTCAGTCGTTAAAGGACGCAAGTACAAACATCCTTTTTTTGATTTAATTTAAGGAGTTGAACTTCATACATGTGCGCAAATATGATTTCTCGTCATAATTTTTGCGAGTTTACAAAGATTCGAAAGCGGTGACCAAATACATACGGCTTAGTCGGCGAAGAACCGCATGCTAACGCAGAAGAGACCCTACTTAGGAAATATACGCCATAATTCAATTGGTAGCTGATGCCAAAGTGTCGACCTAAGCTGTGGAGAGTTATAATGCATTTCGGCTAAAGATGGTATACATACCTGCAGGTTCACCAAATGCGTATGAATTCCCGTCAACCAAGATGAACGCTGATAGGATAGGTTCAAAACGTCGCAATCATTAATAACTAAGCGTTGAAGGGTTTGTGGGATGTGTTTAAAATGCAACTAAAATGAAATAATTGTTACTATATAAATGGCGCCTTAGAAAGGATAATCAGCAAATACAAAAAGCAGATTTTTCGTTGAATCTTTACTTTAAGTGACTGAATATAACAAAAGAAGCGATTTTTTTTTTTTCTTTTGACTAAAAGCCCTTAGTTTTTGACCATAAAAATTTATTTAATTTGAAGTCTATAACCCTTAACAATTCACTTCCATGTATTTTTAATTTTTATTATTATTCTGCATTACAAAGCAGAGCAAGAATTTACACCGTTCGTATTTCACAATTACGATCCGCCAAAGTAAGCCATTATTTTTATGTATGATTGAGCAATTTTTTTGTAGAGTAATTTACAAACAAGTGCCGTATTTTTCTCCGCACTATTGAGCTCGGAAACAGATAACAGGAAAATAAAAGCGTTATACGCCTGTTTAATAAGAGGTTTTAGGTGATTTGACCCATCTCCATTTGTTGATTATATTGGAATAGAAAACATTATAACTTTGCATTTATATCCCCGTAAAGACAGCTTATAAAATGGCAAATTTATGATCATCTCACGTAGCGGTTATATGACGTCTAACCAAGTTTGAATAAACAAAGTGAAGGCGTGCGACTACAAAGTCAAGTTAAATAGCGACAAAGGTTGTCATTTACAGAAATTTGAAAGCGAATAAAGCGCATTTAAAATTGAAAGAGAACTTACCAATGTCAAATCCAAACATATTGAGTACATCTCCAGAATTTCCAATTGCGTACAATTGCTTGTCAACGATTTACTTAGAGTTTTATTAAATATTTCTCCCGAGCTTTTGTAGTTAAGCGATTTTTGTGAAGGTCCTCGTAATTTTAGACATTTTGTGATAGCATGAGTAAATTGCAAAGATTCTAACAATTGATCGTATGAATCCCTGCTCTCCAGCAATGAGATATTTTGCCAAAATCGCTTATCGTAAACTAATTCATTGAATCGTCTGCAAGTTCTAGAATAAGAAAAAAATCAAAAATGATCAATCAGGTCTTTTCTAAAACATTTAATTTCAACATACGCCTTAACTCATTTACCTCTTTAAGGTTAGTAGATCTTGACTTCCAAGATATTTAAAGATTTCATATAAAATCTCATCGCAAAAGTGATCTAAAGTAAACCTGTAGTCAGTTTCGACTTCACGATATTTAGCAGCTGGAGGACTGTTAACAACATTGTCCACAATCGTAGATTCAGTAGAGTTCGTCGATATTTGTTCATTTGTTTCCGAAAACCGCCTCTTACGTTTGCTAGCATTGTTAAAAACCTTGGACATCCCTGCGTGTTCTACGAAATTTACGGAGGTATCCATAAATTTCCTTAATAGCTTAATTGATATAACTAAAATTCACTTATAAAATTTATTTTATTCGTAGTAGCGATATAAAAATTAAAAAATAGTTTTATAAAACCATCGAGTTTAATATCAAAACATTTTCAATAAAACTATTAACCCAATTTTTTAGAGCGTGCAAATAACAAACTGAGACGCAACTAAATGTCACAGCGTAATTAGAAATGCCATTTAATAACATTTAAAGCATGTATTTACGACTTCATCGATTTGCCGCGATTTTATACTTTATTTTTAATTGCCAAAAGCCGATTTGTATGTGCAAATCTTTATTTATATTTAAAAAAAATAAATTAATAAAGTTAAACTGTTATTGGACTATGAGAATAGGAGAAAGAAGGTATGCTACTTTTTTTTATGGCTGGGGAGCGCAATTGCAAATTGATTATTGCAGACTACATTGAGTTAGTTTTTTTTTTTGTTTTTGAATACATGGAATCATTGTTTAAAGTAAGAGATATGCACTTATTTACTTCCCTTGTGCTTATTTGATTTTTTATTATCTTATGTTGAAGTTTGGATTATTCTTATTTTTATACACCTAGAACTAATTTCAATTTTTTTTTTTATTGATTCAGTGCGAATTGTACTATGTGTTAACTGTAGTTTCTTCAATACTTTAAAACAGGCTCTTTAAGGGATTTCTATTGTTTTCTGAATTCTTAAATAAATAAATAGATATTATAATATCGGCCACAATCTGACTCTGGTGTGATTAATGTGAACCAACGTTTTCAAAAATTTGCTTTTAAAATATTACAAGAGAAAGTGTCGCTTTGAAAATGTCTGCAATTCCTAATGGATGATATCATTCCAAATTTAATGCTCTACTACAGAATGCTTATCCAGAGTGTTTCTTAAAATTAATTGAAAAATTGCTTGACTTTTTTCTAATATACTACGTAATTTTTAAGAGAACTCCTTTCAAGCCACACTATCTCTATCCGGAAAATGATAGTGATAGATAGGGCCAAAAAATGGTTTTTAAATCATTTTCTTAACATTGGTTAAAAAAACGAAGCGCGATATTATTATTTTTTGATTACAAGAATTCACAATGAAAAATTCACGTTTTCAGAATGTCGTCTGCGAATCGCAGCTGAAACGAAGGGAAATCAAGTAATTTTTAAGGAAATTGATAATGTTCATAACAAACGCAGCAATAATGTTTGAAGAGGTCATAGCCTAAGACGCTAAACGATGACAAAAAACTTCGATTGACATTATGTAACATTAGAGATTTGATGACATTGATCATGGATCATGCACCACGAAGTGTTTCATCTGGATAAATCGGATAGTTGGTTCCATATCTATCATTTTCAACTGATACAAATAAAGCGCACAACTGAGGTAAAAAATCAAGAATTAGCAATCGCAAATCACACAGAAATTCTACAGTAACAACGTAATGGTTTTGCTAATAGCGTTTATTTAAAATATAAGAAAAATGTGTTGCATATTGGTAATAAAGAAACTCTTACTTTGTTCCGATAATGTTGTACCATTCCAGTAATTCCTTTTAATTTGTGTTTACAAATTGACAAAACAGTTATCAACTTCGTTTCTAATAAAGTAGATGGTTTTGTGGACGGCTTTTTTCTATACAAATATGTCTTTATATATTCAATTAAATGTATTAAATAAAATACGAGGTACTTTAACTAAAAATGCCTTTAGAACACAGGCTACGAAGAGTGTAACTTTAGAATATGATAAAGATCCGCAACCATTGTTTACTAACCCTGAAATCCAAAAGCTTCTCAAGTCCATTACACAATTAGATTTGAGCAAAATATTTCGGCGAACCACGGCGTCAGTAAATAGTGTAGAATATAAATTTATGACCACCGAACAATTGGAAGATGTGTTTCGCAAAACAGTGGAAAAAGCCAAAGTGAAATTACAAATGCCACCTATAGTGAAAGTAAGAGACGATGCTCAAAAGATCATATCGGTGGATAAAGCTTTAAAAGGATTCTCTGATACAAAGTTTGTAATAACTGATGTAACTTACGGCACACGTCAATCTGAACGTAAAGTAGTTGTCCGCGATACAGATGGTACATTACATCATGCTCCAATGGAAATGGCTAAAAGAATGAAACAATTGTTTGTACCACTGAATGGACGCAAATTGCGGACACCACAAATGTTTGAGGACGAAAATTTACAAGCACGTTTAGAAGAACGCAAATATGAATTTATATTAGATCGTTTACTAGTGCAATTCAATCCAGATGAGCCCGATTTTCACAGAATAAGCAGTAAAGTGTATCAGCATATAAATGAAACTAAAGAATTCGATCAACTTCGTTCCACAAGGCATTTTGGACCTATGGCGTTCTTTTATGTTTGGCACAAATGTATCGATGATTTGCTGTATGATATGATAAAAAGGGATTACTTAAGAAATGGAGCCGAATTAATAATCTTATATTATAAAGTCCATTCGATACCAGAGGACTTTGCAGAGTTTTTGCAAAAATTAGACGAACATAATTCTTTAGAAGATTTAGCTCTAAAAGAACTGAATAAATCCATAAAGAGTAAAGTGAACGGCGATATACATTCAGAAATCGAAAGTGCTATTGGTAAATCAGCCAAAGATTTTGAAGTTGATGAATTATGTTTAAGGTTTGTAGAAAAGTACATTGCAGCTTATGCGCTAAAAAAAGTGCAGCTCGAGTTGGGCATTCAAACATTAAGAGAAATTAATGCCGAGAAAAAGCATTTGTATGAAGGCTTAAGCAAAGCACACGGCATACAAAGTGTTAGTTAAATTATAGTCTTTTTGTCGCAATAAATTCTATCTAATTTATATTTTCTTAATCACATCTTTTATGTATTTTAATTGTTTCACTTTAATCGCTTTAATTTTATGTGAGTTAAGCGCGCCTTATACCAACTTAAACATTTTTGTGTATGGAGTTTAAACACAAAGCGATTAGTAAATTTCCTGAGACATATGGAGCAGTTGTAAACAGATGAGCGGCGTCGCGACAGAAATGTTTTTACCAAGTGAGTACCTTTCCGTTTGGTATGTGAAGTAAAAACTCGTACGCGGTATTTCTTATCAGAGCTTAAGTCCAAGCCGTACACTTGAAGCGGTCGAAGCTTTGCACCTGTATAACATTTAGCTCTTAACAGTAAATGGCGTTGGAACTCCCCGGCAGTACAAAAACCTTTTAGGCAGGCGTTACATGCATACATCTTGAAATTGGAGTGTTCATTAATATGATCATAGAGTTCCAAAGGAGAAATGGCTACAGTACTACATAGAAAATAAGGGCACTTCAAGCGAAATGCCGCATTTTTTTGTGTAGCGGAACAGCAATGTCTTTTCAGTAAACTTTTATGATCAAGTTGTTTGCCACATCTAAAGCATAGAACCTTGGGTCCCCAGTGCACGGACATATGGCGTAAAAGTTGCCTAAATGTTTTCATCACTTCACCGCAAATAACACATTCTCGCAAGCCATTCTGATATATAACAGATTTTCGAAACACGAAATATCCAAACTGCTCTTCCTCTTCCTCCCGCTGAGTTAACTTTTCAACTGAACTATCGACAACTTCCTCTTCTTCAACATCCTCTTCAATCTCATCATAAAGATTGCATTGTATGCCTAACGATACGGTTTTTGGTCCTAAATCATCTGTTTGTTGACTTCTATTGCGGGATGGAACTTTTGCATCAGTCATGGTTTCAGCATCTTTGTTATTAGATTTCGACTTCCTTATTGTTTGCAACTGAGCAACATTGCAAGAGACAGTATTTGCTAATAAATTGGTAGGCTTTGATACACTTACTAAATTTGCATTGGTGTACACAGGTTTCGTCGAAATTTGTACATTTTGCCTCAAGTTAATACTTTGCGTTGTACATAAATTAATTGTTGTTGTCGTAACTGTTGATGTAATTGCCACATTACCTACAGGCGTTATAATTGCCCCAATACTCGACGTAGGCTTGAGACTGGGTATTGGCGTGGGTTTCATGCTAACTGTTACTGCTGACTTTGCAGGAGGCTTTGTTGCCCTTGTCTCAACTTTTTTAAATTCTACTACACCTTTATTCTCGCCGAAACAATAGAGATTTTCAAATTTCCCAAGAACGGCTGCAGTCTTTGTAATGAACTTCGTTTCCACAAATATCGTCTCAGGCAGTTCAATCAAATTTAAACGATACATTCCAACAATATTACTTTTGTTTTGGAAAGGCATGGTAACGGGTGGTGGACCTGCGACCATACGCGAATTTTCCTGCACAACATTGTCACAATCCACCAAATCGATGATCGGCACGTTTGTGTCGATTGTTACTATTTGTTTACGGTTTGATGCCATTTCTAATGCCTATTAAATTTCTCTTTACTTTTCTCTTTTTTTTTGCTTTGCTTGTGTTAAAAAACAAGGAAAAATACATTTAAAGTTCAATGTTATATTTTTGCAAACCCACTTTAAGCTCACATTTTATTTAGGCAAAACCATTAAATTATTTATTCAGCGTGAAAATAACAAACCGAACAAAACAAGCTCAGGCATTTGTATATAAAACCTTCCGAATTTTGCATAGAGATGTTGCAGTGGTCCTTCAATCTACCATTCAACAATTATTTCCGAATTATTCACTTTGCCTAGATCTAAAAACAAGGCGACATTTGCGTATTTAATACCCACAAACGCGACTTTTTACAAAACTTTATGGGAATTAATAAATTATATGGATTTGCTTGTGCATACATATAAAGAAAACGAAAAGAAAACAACGTACAAGAGAAAATAAAGGAAACTTACAAGCTTAGGAATTATTTATTTAATTTATGTTTACACAATATACATATTTTTTTACATTATGAATTTTGCAATTTTGGTTTATACTATGCATTATTTTGTAAAAAAAGAAAAACGAGCAACAAATTAAAGTTGAAATATATTCACAAAATTGCTTGTGGAACAATAAATGGTAGTTTCTAAATTATGGATCAATAAATACACAAAAATATTTCTATTGTATATATCTCCATATATTTAAGCAATCTTCATTGTCACTAATCGATAAACAAGCTTGTTTACATTTATATTAACCATGTTATTGTAATCGTTTATAAATTTGTTGTTTGTGTCGATGGCTTTATTTTTGGTTTTAAAACCATATGCTTTTGTTTACATTTTCCTGTAAAACAATACGGTAGCCCGATTGTGTAGGCATTTTCGAATACTTAATATAAATTACTTAATATAAATTAATTATAAAGAGATATTAAGATAATTCCTTTTTTGTTTATTTAGTGCGTGAGATTTGGATTGCTCATGGTATTTATAGCTTGAAAGTCTTTAACCCGAAATGAAAAATGACGCGCCAACCCTCAAAGCGTTAGGCGGATTTTTTTCAATTATATTACTTGTTAAAAGTTAACAATTGTTGACCCGCCGCCAATAAAGAACCTTATCTTGAAAACGGTGTTAAAAAACAAAATCTAATTTGCCACGTTAAGAGAGTGTGATAAATGTAGGTATTATGATGCCGTCCCTGTAAACCTCTCTCTCTCCTCTTCAACTTAATAATCTTCCTTACGGCCTACGGAAAATCCAATTTCGATTTATTATGATGAATCAAATAAGTACATTTTCCAGACCTCTGGTCTGCTCTAATAACGGTACTCATGAAAATTAAGTTTTTATATGACAAATTGATATTTTAGCATAAAGACATAAAAAAGAATTGTATTGGCAGAATGGTTGTATAAGATATTGGATAGCCGGCCTTGCCCGACTTCGATGTTGTAACTGGTTCTTTATGTAAAATAAAAAGTAGTAGCGAACGATAGCTATATTCTTGTATGTAGTGCTTTTACTTTTTATAATTTGAGAGTGATCATTCACAATTGCGGTTTAGTTAATTTCATCTATGGTACTTATGTTTTGCTCATAATCCAATACATTTTACTTTTAGAAACCGGACGAAACAATTTAAGAAAAGGGAAGAGATCACAAGTAGCATTTTTTAATTAAAAGAATATGGCTAATAAATTATTGGGTGTGCCGCTTAAGAAACCGAGCGAAGTTGATATTGTAAAACCACTTAATAATTTAATACAAAGTACGTATAGCGGTGCCTCAGCTGAAGATAAAGGAAAATATGCGGAATGTGTTAATGAATTTTCCAGGCAACGTAATTCGGCAATTTGGAAATTTTTCGAAAAATACGAAGCATCTCTTGAAGTAGTCTACTCGTAAGTGCAATCTAAATAATTACATTCATTTGATTTACTAAATCTAGTTGAGAAAAGAAAAAAATGACTCATGACAATTGCATGCATGTATGTTTGTAAGAAACGACGACGTCATTTTGATGGTATTGAAACCATTTTATTTTTTTACATTACTGCTCCAATTAGTTACTTTGATCAGATCTGCGCTTTGGAAACTAAAATACCGGTGAACGAATTGCAGATACCGTTTAAATGGAAAGATGCTTTCGATAAGGGTTCACTTTTCGGTGGAAAAATTAGTTTAAGTAAGTCTGATTCACGTTTATACACGGCGATTACAATGAACTACTTGGAATTTTCTTTGTTTTTTTTAGCCCACACTTCTTTGTTGTATGAGAAAGTTTGCATACTATTTAATATAGCCGCGTTGCAAAGTTGTCTTGCTGCCGAGCAGTCTTTGGAAAGTGATGATGGCCTTAAAATGGCCATTAAGTTATTGCAACAAAGTGCTGGAATTTTTCAATACCTTAAGGGGGCTGTTCCAGCCGCCATTCCTTCGGAGCCCACACCTGACCTTAGTCAAGATACCCTTCAATGCTTGCAGGCATTGATGATTGCACAAGCACAAGAGGTTTTTATTACAAAAGCCATTAAAGGTCGGTTTGATAGATATATAATTGCAAGAAAGCATAATTTGTTTTGAATTTATAAAAAGAAATATACATAAAAAACTAACATTTATACAGTAATATACCACTTCTTCTTCCGTAGATAACATGAAAGAAGTCGTTATCGCCAAATTGTGCTGCCAATGCGAAGAATTTTATGCTGACGTCCTGAAAGCAATGCAGAAGGATTCGGTGCGCACTCTTTGGGAAAAGGAGTGGATACCTTCAATAGCCGGTAAACAAGCTGGCTTTCATGCCTTAACTCAACTCTATCAAAGCTTAGTTTGTCGTTCTGCGAAGAAAATTGGTGAAGAAATCGCTCGTTTACGAAATGCCGTGGAACTTTTTAAGGCTGCCCAGACACGCTCTGGTAATGCGACGTATTTGGACGGGCACTTTACTAGAGCTAAGCGTAATTTGGCCGAATCGACAAAGGACAATGAGTTCATTTACAACGAAATGATACCAGACGTTAATTCATTGAGTGCACCTGGCAAAGCCCAATTGGCCAAACCAATTACTTTGGCATCGCCTTTGTCCAGCAATTTCAAAGATATTTTCAATGAATTGGTGCCAGTAGAGTTGCATCGTGCTTTAACCGCTTCGGATATGCGAAAATCTGAAATTATTAATGCAGAAATTTTGAAACTGAGAGAAGCCACTCAAACTTTAAACGCTGTGCTGGCTAGTTTAAACTTACCGGCTTGTGTTGAAATTACGGACGATGGGTCAGGTTTGCCTCCGTCTTTAATAGAGAAAGCGAATGATGTTCGCCAAAAAGGCGGCATAGACACAGTTAAAAGGCATTTAAAAGAATTGCCCGAATTATTAAATCGTAATCGTGAAATATTAGACGAAACCGAGCGCATGTTAGATGAAGAGCGCTCTTCGGATAACCAATTAAGAAATCAATTCAAGGAAAAGTGGACCCGTATATCTTCTGATAAATTAACGGAAATGTTCCGTACAAACTCTAAAAAATATCGAGAAGTTATAAACAATGCTATCGAAGCTGATAAAACCGTCCGGCAGAAATTCGAAACAAATGAAAAAGGTATCGAACTGTTATCATTGCCGCATCAACAATTGCAACAGGCTATGCCTGTTGCCGGTGGTAGTGTGGATCCCAGTTGCACAAGTGTGCAAAAATTGAAACATCTTATGGAAAACGTTGAAACTATAAAAGCTGAACGCGATGCTATCGAATCAGAACTCAAGTCAACCACTTTTAATATGAAAAATGAATTTTTGCAAGCCTTACAAAAAGATGGAGTTATCGATGAGCCAGCCTTATCGTTGGTGCATATTGGTCAAGTTCTGAGTCCGTTGCAAGCGCAAGTGAAAGAAAGCATTGAGCGGCAACAGTCTTTAGTGTCTGATGTGCAAATAGCTCATAGTGAATTCGTGTCGGAAACCGGTAGCAGCGGGAATGCCAGAGACAAACTTTGCAAAGAATTGGCTACGGCCTATGATAGTTTTATTGAATTGTTAGGTAATCTCAAAGAGGGAACCAAATTTTATAACGACTTAACTGAGCTATTGGTGGTATTCCAAAATAAAATATCTGATTTCTGTTTCGCTCGTAAAACTGAAAAAGAAGAATTGTTGAAAGATTTAACTACAGAATCTAGTCGACAAGCTCCTGCACCTACGCCTACTTTACCTTCACATTATTCTTCTACTTCGGGTAGTGGTGCTGGTAAATTGCAAATGTGATTTTATTTGAACACTTCTCTTATATATAATTTCTACAGATATTTCGACAACTGATGGTTCATCGTCGTCAATGCCAACAGCTAATACAGGTTCGATGGCTGGCATTCCTTATCCTCAGAGTGTGCAGGGCATGCCAATGCCATACGGCGCTGCGTCAAATGTTCCATATCCATCATACGCGCCCCCACCGATGCCACAGGGCTTCAACCCTTACGCCACTCTACCTTATCCAGGAAGTAAGCTTTTGCCGTAGTCTTATTTATTTCCTTCTATTAACGTTAAACACAATTGTAGCTCCATTCCAATACAGTGGTTTTCCACAAGGACCACCTCCTGGACACTATGGCACATACCCTGGCAGTTTCGCAAGTCATCAGGGTGGATATCCTAATCAAAAACCCCCAGGATGGTAAAAGTTGTTGAGTGTATATGTTTATTGTACATCGTTTAATTGAATGTACTTTTATTTTCACTTTTATTCACCTTGAAAGTACTTTGTTTATACTTATTATTGTTTAAATCAATATTGGAATCTAAAAGATATATTTATGCCCACCATCGAAAAAGGACACATTAAATTCATCAATTCCTTTATATCATATGAGGTGTGCGTTCGTATAACACATAAAATAAGTATACGTTTTATTAGCATAGAAAGCTGGCTCGATTTATTACTTTGTCTTTCCGCTGAGAAACTCAACGTCGTAATATGAAACTAAGTTTAATTGACGGCAATAGATCAGGTTTAAAATACCACATCTAAAACAATAATAGGAATATAAACATCGCCAGTCAATCGTAAATATCTTTATAAATATTGACAGATCATACGAAACTTACAACGTAAAACAAAAGAAGGAACAGCCCTACAAAGCAAAAAAGTAGGGTTGACTAAACGTATTGATCTACTATCGCTATCGCGTGTTGGATAAATAAAATCTTGCTTTTAGTTTAATTTGTATTTAAATAGGCAATTATGGCAAAAAAGTAGGCCTACACATAAGGTATAATAAAGTTATAAAGCATAAAAATCCTCTAGGAATCTATCTTCGGCTGCATTCATTTATTTGTTTTAATATTTCATTAACTATCACAAACTTCCCTTCTCCCATCTTTTGAACAAGTTATTCTTAATTATATTCACAGTAGCTGGACTGCATATGCTTGCTATTAACAATTCTTGTAATTCGTTAATGGGTTTGCTCGAAGATCCTTCTTCGTAATGATAACGTGCACTATTTGTTTTGATAAGCTTCTCGTAATCAGCCAAGGTTAACTTTGGGATTTGTGTAATATTCTCGATTTTTTTTAATAAATTACATGTTTCCTCCTCGTTTATGTATTGATAAGAGTAGCTGGTTTGAAGACTTCCACTCTTTTTGCCGCTTAGTAGCGATTGCTTTTCTTGTAACAAGACGTTAAGTATTTTAAAAACTTCCTCATCATCAATGATTTCCGTTAACTGTAATCATAATGAAACTTATAAGCACATATTTTCGGATTGCTGTTAAAAAATCGCTTTTACTTGATTCGGGTTCATAACGTATTCTTTTATATTGGCGCTAGTATTTCTGGTAAAATTCTCAATAAGATATTTTACGATACATTCTTCTATCTGACTCTCTACGTCTACATCCAGAGGAATCCATGAATTAAGACTTAATGACGTTTCTAATGCTTCAACGTAGTGCCACCAATGTCTGGGTATAATTAGAATATCATTTGGCTCCGCTACCACTTGATACGCATGTTCACTTAATTGGAGAAGTTCAGGAATTTCTTTGGGGTGTGGAGCGTAGAAATTCTCCAAGCAATACACGCTTGACTCTTCATAAGGTATGCGACTAGCTGTGAGGTTTGTAGAAGGGGGAAATAGCAACCAAGACTTTCTGCGAATAAAATTGAAGAGAATCTCAACATCTTATTAACAACTTTCCTATATTGTACGAGAAAAGTCAGTTTTTGCTAACTATTAGCCACCCTTCTTTATGAATTTTATTTACTTAATTCTTTATAATACCTTAAAACAAAAAAAGGACACTTTGACCTATAACTGATTCACCGAAACCTGAATGTCTGAGTGAGCGTTTTTAATTAGCTAAACTCATTCCCAATCTTTAATTTTTGTTTTTAATCACAGCGAACTTTACTTACTTTCCATAAATTTGTACAACAATATTGCAACCATACGTATCATAATGACAAGGTGTATTTTGATTTTTAGAACTTAACCAGAAAGTGCAATCTTTATGCGCTTCTGGAAAACCGAAGCAAGTGAAGTCTATATTTTCGCTACAAGTTGAAGGTAGTTCATGTACTCTTTTGTAATTTAGACCTAACCACATGCTTTCGCAATTATATTTGAGGAAGTCTGTTGCGGGCATTTGTTTTATCTCACGTTTACGTTCCCATTGGGGGGTATTTGAGTCTTTCGCAGACATGCATTCGAAAGCTACAGGCTCGTGAGCGTGCCTATCTAAATTCCGACACCATCCATCAATACCATTTTCGAAACAAGTCCATTTGGGCTTGTAACTTCTCAGTATTATAGGTTTTCTGGTATTTAAAACAATTTCCCTCACTTTTAAAGAACAATCGTCCATTCCGACTAGGGTTGCCACATCCGCCGATCAATCAAATAATTTAATATTCGTTGCGAAGGCCAATATTGCTTTTTACCAAAATCGATTGTTTTGACGTTTCGACGCATTCTCATTCGCCATTTTTGTTTTTTTATTAATGTTTCGTTTCAATGCATTTTGTTTTCCCACAAATTTCCAAAATAGGTCAAAATATGCACTTTGGTAATCATGAGCATTTTTCCTTACGAAAAATCAGCTGTTAATTCGTATTGTAGTCGGCTGAAATTCAATACACAAAAAAAAGGAAATAAATATTGTCCTGATCCATTCTCCTTAAACGTACTAAAAAATAAATTAAATTTCTCTACAAAGGATATACAAACTCACCCGGGAGTCCAAAAAAATATCAAAATGGATGAATTGCAAAAACTTGAACACCTCTCTCTCGTCTCCAAACTGTGCACCGAATTGGACAATCATTTAGGCATCAACGATAAAGATTTGGCTGAATTCATAATACATTTAGAGTCTCAGAATCCTACGTTAGAAGACTTTCGTAAAGCTTTAAACCAGCACGGAGCTGAATTTCCCAATTCGCTTGTTGCCAATCTTCAAAGAATTATTAAATTAATGAGGCCGTCATCCGCGGATAATAATGGAGAGCAAAACACATATGACAAAGAAAGCATATCAAATGATCAGAATTCGCGGACAGCACAATTGGCTAAAATGTTTCCGGGGTTAGCTATGCCAAATGATAAATTCAGTGATGAACATATATCTTCTGACAAAGTTTATGGTAAAGAAGAAAGTAGAGCGAAGCAAAAGAATCTAGAAAATGATGATTTAAAGATTGTTGATGCTGCCATGAATGAATTGGCAGCTTTAGCTTCAGAAAGTGATAGGATGAACAAACAAAATGAATCTGTAAAGAAAAAAGAAGGAAAATCATGCTCAGAATCAAAATATAAGGATCGAAAACGAAGGAAGAGCTACGAGGAAGAGAAGAAAACGCGGAAGGAGCGTTCACGCTCAAGGTCTAAATATCGTAAAGATGTCTCGAAACATAGCTACTCCCCCGGACGTGATCGATCTAGAGTACGTGGTCACCGTCATCATGACCATAAGAGATATTCTCGATCACGCTCAAATGACCGTTCGAATCGCAGACGAAAATCTCGATCGTACTCAAACGATCGTTCAAATCGAAAACGAAACTCTCGGCCTCGTTCGCATGAGCGTTCAAACCACAGACGAAATTCCCATTCTCAATCTCCTGAGAGCAAACGCGGTAAAACGATATCTAGTGTGCCGATAACTGACGATCCTGAACCAGGTAAAATTTACAGTGGAAAAGTGGCCAACATTGTTCCTTTTGGATGCTTCGTGCAATTGTATGGTTTACGAAAACGTTGGGAAGGATTAGTTCACATTTCCCAGTTGCGCTCTGAAGGACGTGTTACTGACGTCACTGAAATAGTCAGTCGTAATAGTATCGTAAAAGGTAAAACGATAATAATAAAATAATTTCAAATAGTATAGAAAATAATGCAGAACAAACAATCGTACAACTACCATTTCTTTACAGTAAAAGTTTTGTCGATTACTGGCCTAAAAGTGTCTCTCTCAATGAAAGAAGTCGATCAAGATACAGGAGAAGATTTAAACCCGCTTTCTCATGCTCCTCCTCCCGAAAACGAATTGCTTGATCGCAATCCCGATCGCCCATTCGGCGGGGGGACATCCCTCTTAAACCTCCAAAGAGCAGGTGACAACGATGAGGGTGACTCACGCAAACGAGTAACCCGAATTTCTAGTCCGGAAAGATGGGAAATCAAGCAAATGATAAGCTCGGGTGTTTTAGATCGAAGCGATTTACCAGACTTTGATGAAGAATCCGGTTTGCTCCCTAAAGATGAGGACGATGAGGAAGATATAGAAATTGAGATTGTTGAAGAGGAGCCACCATTTTTAGCTGGGCATGGACGAGCGCTACATGATTTATCGCCGGTTCGTATAGTTAAAAATCCCGACGGTTCATTAGCTCAGGCAGCTATGATGCAGTCTGCTCTTTCCAAAGAGAGAAGAGAGCAAAAAATGCTTCAGCGTGAGCAGGACATGGAGGCTGCGCCGACAGGTCTAAATAAAAACTGGATTGATCCATTACCTGACGAGGACACCAGCCGCACTTTGGCTGCTAACATAAGAGGATTAGGCGGTGGCCCTGCTGAGGTGCCTGAATGGAAAAAGCACGTTATTGGAGGAAAGAAGTCATCATTTGGTAAAAAAACTGATATGTCCTTAGTTGAGCAGAGACAATCATTGCCGATTTATAAACTCAGAGACGATCTAATTAAAGCGGTTACGAACAACCAAATTCTTATAGTCATCGGTGAAACTGGGTCGGGAAAAACTACTCAAATAACTCAATATTTAGCAGAGTGTGGTTTTACAGCTCGTGGCAAGATTGGTTGCACGCAGCCACGCCGCGTTGCAGCTATGTCAGTCGCTAAACGCGTTGCCGAAGAGTACGGTTGCCGCTTAGGTCAAGAAGTTGGCTATACCATACGTTTCGAGGATTGCACTAGTCCTGAAACGGTTATCAAGTATATGACGGATGGTATGCTGTTGCGCGAATGTTTAATAGAATCAGATCTGAAGTCCTATTCAGTAATAATGTTGGACGAAGCCCACGAGCGTACTATACATACAGATGTGCTCTTTGGTTTACTTAAAAGCGCTGTACAGAAACGTCCAGAATTAAAACTTATCGTTACCTCAGCTACCTTGGACGCTGTGAAATTTTCTCAATATTTTTTTGAAGCTCCCATTTTCACTATACCTGGTCGAACATTCCCCGTTGAGGTTCTTTATACCAAGGAGCCGGAAACCGATTATTTGGATGCCTCTTTAATAACAGTAATGCAGATACATCTGCGTGAACCGCCTGGTGATATTTTGCTTTTTCTCACTGGTCAAGAGGAAATCGACACGGCTTGTGAAATTCTGTACGAGCGCATGAAAAGCTTAGGTCCAGATGTACCAGAGTTAATAATATTACCAGTATATTCTGCTTTGCCTTCTGAAATGCAGACAAGGATTTTCGATCCAGCTCCCCCGGGCAGTCGTAAAGTAGTAATCGCTACTAACATTGCAGAGACGTCTCTAACCATTGACGGAATATTTTACGTTGTCGATCCCGGTTTTGTTAAACAGAAAGTGTACAATTCAAAAACTGGAATGGATTCCCTAGTTGTTACTCCCATATCGCAAGGTACAAATAAATATGCAAGTGAAATAATCATTAATCATAAATAATCATTAATTATCTGGTGAGGAAGTTTCCCATTTAACACTTTAACAGAATGGTCGACGACATTTTTATCACTTTAGCAATTTCTTAAAAAAAAAAATTATACCATATCGCAACTATTTTATAATTTATTTACTTAGCTGCTGCTAAACAACGTGCTGGTCGCGCTGGTCGTACTGGACCTGGTAAATGCTATCGCCTGTACACGGAGCGGGCTTATCGTGATGAGATGCTCCCTACACCAGTGCCCGAAATTCAACGCACCAACTTGGCCACTACCGTGTTACAATTGAAGACTATGGGTATTAATGATTTACTGCACTTTGATTTTATGGATGCTCCGCCTGTTGAATCTTTGGTAATGGCGTTAGAACAACTCCATTCTCTATCGGCTTTAGATGATGAAGGTCTTTTAACTCGTTTGGGACGAAGAATGGCTGAATTCCCTTTGGAGCCTAATTTATCTAAAATGCTTATAATGTCTGTGGCATTGCAATGTTCCGACGAAATTTTAACCATTGTATCTATGCTTAGTGTTCAAAATGTATTTTATCGACCGAAAGATAAACAGGCGTTAGCAGATCAAAAAAAGGCGAAATTCAATCAGATTGAAGGCGATCACTTGACCTTATTGGCAGTTTATAACAGTTGGAAAAATAATAAGTTTTCCAATGCCTGGTGCTACGAGAATTTTGTTCAAATTCGTACTTTAAAACGATCACAGGATGTACGTAAACAATTGTTGGGCATAATGGATCGACATAAATTAGATGTAGTTTCAGCCGGTAAAAAGTCGGTGCGAATACAGAAAGCAATTTGTTCCGGTTTCTTTCGAAATGCCGCCAAAAAGGATCCTCAAGAAGGTTATCGCACTTTAGTTGATTCTCAAGTTGTTTATATACATCCTTCAAGTGCGCTGTTTAACCGTCAACCCGAATGGGTTATTTATCACGAACTAGTTCAAACTACTAAGGAATATACACGTGAGGTAACCACCATAGATCCGAAATGGTTGGTGGAATTTGCACCATCCTTTTTCCGATTCTCCGATCCAACAAAATTGAGCAAGTTTAAGAAGAATCAACGCTTGGAGCCATTATACAATAAATATGAGGAACCTAATGCCTGGCGTATTTCACGAGTTCGAAGAAGACGAAACTAAACGGTTTTATTTACATATATTTGAGAATACCTATGAAGAAATTTTCATCTACCATAAAATTAGAAAATTTCAAAAAAAAATCATTGCCTAAGGGTACTAAATAAGTGAAAGAATATCCTAAACCGGGCACATTTCAAAAATTCGAAAAAAGACTGATCTGACTGAGACTTTCTTATTTTTGTCGCTGAGTAAGTTCCTTGCTAGCGCTTGCTTTACCATGGCAGGTATATATATATATATATATATATATATGTAATGCTTAAGGTTTAATTATGCGTTCAACTTTTGCAAATATTTTGCTAATTATATTAATTATGTAAATAATTTTCTTTCATGTATTATTTTTCTAACATTGTTTTATATGCCCGATGAAATTTTTTTTTTTTTTTTTTTTGTATAAAAAGAAATTGAAATAAGGAAACTTATCCATATATTTTAAGCGGAAAAACAATGTGCGAATGGATTGGAAAAAGGAAAAGTGACTTCGTCACACTACGAAGATGGTATACCAATGATTCTGAAAATTACACCATATGTAGAGACCATTGTGATCCGAGAGTGTGGTAATCCAAAAAAGTTGTGTAAGACCCAATTCTCCATAATCATGACAGAGAGGAATTCTCGAAATAAACAATGATAAATCGATTCAGATAAAATATGAATTTATAAAGTTGATTGTTGTTATTATAATATATTTAGGTTTGATAAATAAAATTCCTCACTTTAAAGAAAAAAAATCAAGCAAGAAGAAAGAAAATATGTCTCCTAGTTTTTTGTTTTATTGTTATCGTTTTTAATAATTTCTACAATGTTTTCCTGAGTAATGCGCAGCTGACATAAATTTTAGATAAACCTTGCTTCAACTAGGAATAGCGTATGAAATGAGCGCAATTCTTATAAATTAATAAAAGGAGGGATATGGTAACGCAAATTAACATTTCTTCTCGCAAATATTGGTCGCGAGAGTTGATGAAAACATAGATTTATTAAAAAAAATAAAGAAACTAAATATCGTAAAGTTTTCACTACTTCCCGACGGCTTTGAATTTTAACAGATGTGTTCCTTTGTAAAGTGCTATTTAACAGATATGTCCCTTTGTAAAATGCTATTTAACAGAAATGTCCCTTTGTTTTGCTGACGGTTTTGCATTTTAACAGAGTTGTCCCTTTGTTCAGTCTGTTAAATAGCGATTTATGGCGAATGGCGTTACCATTTAAGTTGTTAGTTGGGCATTTAATCATTTAACAGAGGACGTAAGGCAATATAAAGCTTTTGAATAAAATCTGTTGCCTATCTTTAGGATAGCTTGTAAGAATTAAATTCGTTTACCAAGAATATTTAGCGATTCACTTGTTCATTCACAATATGCTTAATTATGTATATATGTATATAAAAAATTTTGCATGAGCTATGCCACCTTTCAAGCTATATTCCTTTCTATGAAAATAAACAAAAGCTCAGAATAGTGCATACTTTTGATACTGTTTTTGATTGTCTTTCTTTTACTTTTGTTTCAATGTCTGTTGCTCATGCAATAAAATATTCTACAATATGTCTTTGCTATATTTTTGTTTTCGCCTTTTACTGCTACTTTTATTTTTATTTTTTTTGCGATTAAGAGAACATAGGCGATGAGACAACAAATCGAGGTTCCATTCATCCAATTTTGTATTATACGATAGCTGTCAACTTGTTATTCTGGGTCTTTATTCAACAGTGGGAAAACGTGGCACTCCACGTGCGGTGATGATGAGTATACACCAGCTGAGTTGTACTCGTTTAGGAAGCAGTCTTGATCTCTTCTCTAGCTACTTAAGATTTATTATTCGACACTCTTTGAGAGTTTTGGCAGTAGTATATATAACACATGAATACCAACCATGAATCTCAACCGTATATGTAATAATGAAAAAATGTCGCATGCGATTGAATTGATTTCTGACTTCATGTGCATTCTATATACATGCAATATGTCGCATGAGATGCTTGCGATATATTATTACTAATCTCATGTGTAGATGTGTATGAAATATGTAAAATATCCTTTGCATTTAATGATGAATGATGAGCGAGTGCCGCAGTAGACGATCAGATAGTGATAAAAAAAGGAAATGGTGCTTGTGATATTGCATAAATAAAACAAGAGCAATTTTTTTTCGGCAGTTTTCTGGTACTGCGTAGTTTTGTTTTAATTATATGTTGTAAACTATGTGCTCTGTTTCTTTGGTGCATGGTAAAGTAAGATATGATTCCAGAACAAGGTAAGCGACATTGTACAGATTTTTATTTATGCTTTTTATACTTTTAATTGCCAATTCCTATGGAATTAGAACCTATTATGTAGCTTACTAAAAGATATTCCAAAATGCCTTACGGCAGATGGAATTAAGGCTACACGCATGGTTTGGGTTTAAATTACTTTACAATCACTTTATTGTACATATTAATATTTTTTTAGTTTTAAATGTTTGGCCGAAAGCAAATTTCATTTGATTCTTTTTATAACTTAGATTTGACTTTCCGTTCGTAACACTCACGAGTACGTATCAAATAGTGTATTGACCAATTTGAGAATCTGTATCGATCTATTGGTGATGTTTATTTACTGTAAATTATTAATGCGCGCATGGCTGCAAAAATTGATGTAGATATTTCAACTCTTGCTTTACATATATTTTTTTTAATTGAGGTTCGCACTTTGCGTTTGGAATTGGTTTTGACCTGACCTCAATTTATAGAAAATATTATACTACTGTCCACAATAGATAAAAGACGCGATCTATAAGAGATATCGATATAAGAAGCGATGCCGACTTTCTCTATGACAACTTTCGATCAACCCACGTACATATATATTTAACGAAAAATTCTGTTATGTTATTGTAATGCTTTAAAAAAAAAACACAGACTATTTAGGCATATAGCCAGCGTTAGACTTATGTCTATGTTTATGCAAACATTCGCCTTGACAAGCGAAACTTGGTGGTTGACTGTAATGCTTAAATTTTCAAGTTGACCTAAAAGTGAAAACATTCAAAACGGCTTTCTATACAATATTAATATTGATTTTTCTATCCCGAAGGATGAGCGGTATGTTGATTTTTTCAACCGTTTGCAACACCCAGAACGAAGCTTTAGAAACACCACAAAGTGTGCAAAAATAAATCTATCGGTTTCAAATTTAGCAGAAACATTGTAAGTCCTTCATGCAGGTTGGTATTGAAAATGGGCCAAATGGGTTGAAGGACACGCCTACATTACCGTGTAAACTGAGAACACTTCTGGTTTCCGCTCATTATTCACAAACTGCAGCAAATAAATCTATAAAAATTTGAGGGTCTATTCTGTGGGCGATGCTGTACTACCTACACAAAAGGCAAAAGTTGACCACGCCTCTCAAATATTCCAGAGTATAAAAATTTAATTGCTTTTTCAATACCTTTGCAACGCGCAGAAGCAAGCTGTGAAAGTGGCGTAAAGTAAACAAATTCTTGGCCTTTCAACCTGCTTGTCCTTCCATCTGTCCATATCTCCAAGCATATAATTTCAGTGGTAAGCACACTCCCGTTCGCAAAAATCAAGGTATCGTCTACAAATATGCAAAAGAGTTTGAAACTGATCTTGGCCGGTCACAGGACATGCAACAAAATGTATGCAACAAAAATGTTGAAAAACCTTTGCTTCCTGTGTTTTTTGCTTCTTACTCGTAAAGTATAACACATATATCATACAAATTTGCACTGCTATTAGAGAATGAAGTGAAAATTTAGTTTAGTTCTTTTCTCTTTTTTTAGTCTTCTTTAGGGCAACGATGAGGGGTTTAAAATTGTTCTTGCAATTGTTCTTTTAATTTTTAAAATTATATTAATTACGTTGGGAACTAAGCCGTATGCTTTCACATGTGAATAAAATTCGCTAAAAGTATCCTCAAATAGATGAAAGTGGAGTAAAAGGACAAAATACTTAAATGCTTATGAACGTTTAGTATCTATGACGATCGGAATGTATTTTTCATGGATTTTCAACTATATATGTATGCAATTGACCAAGGGAGGAATCATTATATAATACTTAGTTTGTCAAGTAAAAATCCTACCTAAAACCTAAAAGGCGTCGAGAATGAGTTAAAAAGGATCTCAGTTATGAAATACGATTTATGTTTTAAAATATTTTAAAAGCTGATATTTTCGTCTTTGACTATTTCGTCTTGGAGACTTTAATGATCATTTTTTCGAAGAATGACCTGCTTTAATGAAAAAATGTGAATATTAGAGAATTGCAAAGCATTGCTAGAAACTCATTGATAACTTAAAAAAAAACTATTAATGATATCGAGGTAAAAATTAAGAGATATTCAATTTCCAATTGATGTAAATTTTTGAGAAAAAAAGATAGGAACGTGCCTAAACACACATGAACAAAGATGACAGATAGTAAAGTAATTAAATGTATTCTGCAATACGCAGGCGCACACGTTTGCAATGTATACGTACTGCAAGGTGTAAATTTATAGAGAGCACTTGCATTAAAAACTAGTGCTTGCAGAGCTTAAGACTTTCAGTGCCGGGATGTTGTCATTCAGATTAAAGAGGGAATTTCCATTCGCATTATTTCTTTAGCTGCTTTAACACTGTGTTCGGAAAATGGCAAGAGTAGTAAGATAGTTAGTCCATATGACAAGCTTTTTTCTTTAGACTAAGAGCACATTCACTGACATCTGTATCAAATTACGTAATAATATTTTCAATAGTTAATGCAACTTTCATTCAAAATATCCCTATTTTCGATTCGACTTTATCTTTATCTATTGAATGAAAATGATATCCACGGAGAAAGTTTTCGAATTTCGAAAATAGACAAATCTCAGACGGAATTAAATGATGTGAATATGGCATTTAGGCCAATACAAAGGAAAAAATTGGCTTACCTTCAACTAAACGTTGTCTGCCCACGATTCTGACAACTTCTTCCTACATCCGTCACCAACCAGGGATACGGAATACATTCATCTTGCCAAAGTGCTAGAAACACGCAAAAGGAAGGCCCATAGACCCCACATATCCTTAATCATCATTAGATTCTAAACTGGTTTAAGCAGATGTCTCTGTCTTTCTCTCTCTTTCTGTGCAATATCTGTTGTGAACAAATATTGAGACTTCGGCTTTAAATTTGCAAAGACATTGGAAATTCTTGTACGGTTCTTATTGGGGTTTTTTGCTCCTTAGTTATGAACTACATCAGATAAAAGAATAGAGATTTGGACGTATGGATTTCCGGGTGTTTCTGGACACATGTATAAAAATAGAAAAAAATCAATTGCACCCATCCTATATTATAAAGTATCGAAATTTCATTCTTTTGTCAAAACGAAGACGAAGAAACTTAAAAGTTCCTATAAAGCTTACGTTATCCTAAAGAGATCTTATAAAGGATACTTATCTATTGATCAGTCAAATCAAATTCTGATATAGACATGATAGACAGTCCAATTCCTCGTCTGGCGGCGTGTTATTTTCCTGTGAAAATCATATTCCTGGTCACAAAAACAGAAAAATTGGGTTCAAATTTGGCGAAAACATAAGACGTTGCTGTGCATAGTCTGGTATTGAAAATAGGCGAAAATTGGTTTTCTAGGTTTCTTGCTCCTTACGAATAAACTGCAACAGAGACATGGTAAAAATTCCATGTAT